GAGAGAGAGAGAGAGAGAGAGAGAGAGAGAGAGAGAGAGAGAGAGAGAGAGAGAGAGAGAGAGAGTACTTCCATCGATAGGATGAGCAAAATTGAATGAATCTGCCGCTAGAACATGGAAACATACACTGCTTTTTTTTTTCTTTTTTTTTTTGTGTGTGTGTGTGTGCGAAAACTTAGCAACTGCCGGGGCATTTTGCAAAGTTACGCAGTGTCCGGTAGGGGTACATTGTAAAGATGGGATCCAACTGATGGCTGGGGTGTTTCGCAAAATGTTTTGTCACCGTCCTTCGCCGCAGCGTAGCTGCGGCAGGTCCACTTGTCTACTTAAAAGGCCTAGGCTATGGCGGACTACTAAGGGCCTTGCCCTGATGTGCAAAAGACACCGCAAAAGAAGCAGCTACGCCTGCTGTGCTTCAGGTCGCCATGCCTCATTCTGCCTTGAAGCCTTCTTGGTGCAGTGCTACCGCAGCTGGGGCCTTCCAGATGCAGCACCTAACAACGTGATGAAGTTGGCGTCCACCATAGCCAGGTAAGTACCTCGCCACTCTCCTCCTCCACCCCCTTCTTCCTCCTCCTCAAGCTGGGCGCTCTGCGCCATAGCCAGGCAGAGTGCCCAGCTCTCCTTCTTCCTCGCCAACAGCGCCCGCTCAAGCAGCATGACGCAAAAACTTTCATACCGCAAATGAGGAAGAGCTACTCGCTCCACCAGGAGATATAGCGGCCAACCAGCCTCACGGCTGGTGACTTCCAGGCCGCGCCTCCAAGCAGCCTGTACCTCCTCACTTTCGGAGGGCAAACATCATTGCAGGCTCTGATATCGTCCGCACAGGCCCTAGACTCAGGCGACATGGACTGGTACCCACCTCGACCTGGGCCTACTGCTACTGGGCCTCTGAAAACGAATTGACTTTTAGTCTTCTTCTGCTCGGCCCACCGCTACTGAAATGCTATCGGTACCGACACTACGCTACTTGAGTGTGCCCTAAGGCCCCTAAGCTACACCTTCGGCCACTTGAGAGTGTTTTCCCCGCTGCAACCTTCAAACTCACGGCCACAGGTAAGTATCCGCACCGCGGGCCTCCCAAACAAACAAGTGCCCTAGCGGACCACACACACACTCAGGCCAACAAGCACTCAGACAGGCACGAAGACTGGCACGCACACTCAGACACAGACTTAGAAAACTCAGCAGAACGCGGGAATCTCAGGAAGGCATACATTCCAGCGGCAAAACTCAGAAATCAGCAGCGTTCTCAGTCTGTGTTTTGGGCCCTTTTGGCAGGTCATTACAAGTGTAAGAATTGGTTCTAGGTTCACACTTCAAACTCTGTTGCAGGCACAGAACCCACAGAGGTGGCAATTTCAGCCAGTTCCAACTTTCCCACAGTTCCCAGGTCCCAACAGGTTCTAGCAGGTTGCACGGATTTTTCAGGTTGCCACATGTCCCCCACGGGCCACATGGCCCACAAGCTCCAGGTTCGACGAAGTTGCAGTGTCCAATGGTTCCAGCTTTCAACATGTTCAACGAGTTACATCATGCGTCCAGGTTCAATCAGCAAGAGAAGCAACAGCAGGAGGAGGAAGAGGAGGAAGAGGAGGAAGAGGAGGAAGAGGAGGGAGAGGAGGGAGAGGAGGGAGGAGGGAGGAGG